TTTCAGCTATTTCCAGCTTCAGGCTGTTACAAATAATGCACCTATGAGATTATGTGTGTCTTTTATTGCACATGCAAATGTATAAACCTAGGAGTGGAATTGCTAAGCCAAGTTTTTGTTGGTGGTGCCAGGCCAATTCTGACTCATATTAAACCCATGTACAACAGAACAAAACACTGCCTGGTTCTACCCATCCTCACAATCATTGCTGGGATTGAGCCCATTATTTACAGCCACTCGTTGAGTGTCTTTATTGTTTTTTGCTGACCTTCTACTTTACCAAGCATGGTGTCCTTCTCCAGGGACTGATCCCTCCAGTTATGTCCAAAGTACAGGAGACAAAGTCTCACCATCTTTATTTGTAAGGAGCATTATGATTGTACTTATTCCTGTACTTCTTCCAAGACAGACTTGTTTGTTCATGCTGTAATTGTTAGGTCCATTGAATTGCTTCCGACTCATAGCAACCCTATACACAACAGAACAAAATACTGCCTAGTCCTGTGCCATCCTCACAACCATTGTTACGCTTGAACCCATTGCTGCCACTGTGCCAGTCCATCTCATTGGGGGGTCTTCCTCTTTTTTGCTGACCCTCCACTATACCAAGCATGATGTCCTTCTCCAGGGACTGGCTCCTCCTGATAATATGTCCAAAGTATGAGAGACAAAGTCTTAGCATCCTGTTTTCTAAGGAACATTCGTCTTTACTTCCAAGACAGATTTGTTTTTCTTCTTGCAGTCCATGGTACTTTTAATATTCTTCTCCAAACCCACCAGATGCTCCTTGGAAACCCTGTACAGGGTCACTATGAGTTGGGACAGACTAGATGGCACTTAACTAACACCATAACTCAAATGCATCAATTCTTCTATGGTCTTCCTTATTCATTGTCCAACTTTCACATGTATATGTTGTTGTTGTCAGGTGCCATCGAGTCGGAACTGACTCATAGTGACCCCATGCACAGCAGAACGAAACAATGTTCGATCCTGGGCCAACCTCACTATCCCTGCCACACTTGAGTCCATCGATGATGCCACCTGGCCAATCCATCTCGTTAGGGGTCTTCCTCTTTTTCTCTGACCCTCCACCTTACCCATGTATATGAAGCTATTGAAAATACCATGGCTTGAGTCAGGTGCACCTTAGTCCTCAAACTGACATCTTTGCTCATGAACACTTTAAAGAGACCTTGTGCAGCAGACTTGAATAATGCAATACATGGTTTGATTTCTTGACTGCTGCTTCCATAAGTGTGGATGGTGGATCCAAGCAAAATTAAGTCTTTGACAACTTCAACCTTTTGTTCATTTATCATAATGTTAATTTTTGGTCCAGTGGTGTGGATTTTTGTTTTCTTTACATTGGGATACACCCCATACTGAAGACGTGTGGTCTGTCATCTTCATCATTAAGTATTTTAAGTCCTGTTTGTTTTGAACAAGCAAGGTTGTATCCTCTGCATATCACAAGTTGGTAATGAGTCATCTGCCAATCTTGATATCACATTCTTCTTCATATAATCCAATTTCTCATCTTATTTGCTTAGCATACAGACTAAGTATGGTGAAAAACAACAACAACCCTGGCATACACCTTTCCTGATTTTAAACCATTCAGTGTCCCCTCATATAGATTCCTCATGAGCACAATTAAGTATTCTGGAATACCCATTCTTCACAGTGTTATCCATTCTTGTCATGGCCCACACAGTCAAAAGCCTTTGCATTGTCAATAATGCACAGGTAAACATCTCTCTGGTATTCTGTTTTCAGCCAAGATCCATCTGGTGTCAGCAGTGCTATCCCTCATTGCAAGTCCTCATCTGAATCCAGCTTGAACATCTGGAAGTTTCCTGTCAATGTACTATTACAGCCATTTTCAAACTGTCCTTACCAAAACTTTACTTATATGTGATATTAATGATATCGTCTATGATTTCTACATTCCACTGAATCACCTTGCTTTAGAATGGGCACAGATATGGAGCTCTTTCAATCAGTTAGTCAGATAGCTGTCTTCCAAATTTCTTGGCATAGATGAGTAAGCGGCTCTAAGTCTGCATCCATTTGTTGAAACATTTCATTTTGTATTCCATCAATTCCAAGAGGCTTTGCCAATGCCTTTAATGCACCTTGGATTTTCTACCTTCAGTACCATTGGCTGTTGATTATATGCTGCTTCTTGAAATGGTTGAACATCATCCACCATTTCTTTTTGGTACAGTGACTCTGTGTATTCTTTCCATCTTCTCTTGATGCTTTCTGTATCATTCAATATTTTGCCAAGAGAATCCTTCAGTATTACAAGTTGAGGCTTGAGTTTTTTTCTTCAGTTCTTTCATCTTGAGAAATACTGAGCATGTTCTCCCCTTTGGTTTTCTAGCTCCTGGTCTTTGCAAATGTTATTGTAATTCTTGACTTTGACTTCTCAAGATGACCTTTGAAATATTCTGTTCAGTTCTTTTACCTCCTCATTTCATCCATTTGTTTTAGCATCTCTATGCTGGAGTCCTGGTATGGCACTGAGGGTTAATGCACTGGACTGTAAGGTCAGTTTGAACAACAAAGTCAGCAATTCAGGCTCACCAGTAGCTCCTTGGAAACCCTATACAGAGTCACTATGAGTCAGAACCAAGTTGATGGCACTTAACAACAACAATGTTGGAAAGCAAAAGTTTCAGTCTCTTCTGACATCCATTTTGGTGTTTTCCTTTTCTTGTTTTCTTAATGCCCTTTTGCTTTCTTCCTGTATGATGCTCCTGATGTTATCCCACAACTCTTCTAGTCTTCGATCTTTAGTGTCTAATGCATCAAATCTGTTCTTGAGATGATCTCTAAATTCAGGTGGGATATGTTCACGGTCCTATGTTGGCTTTCACGGACTTGTTTTAATTTTCTTCAGCTTTAGCTTAAACTTGCATATGAGCAACTGATTGTCTGTTTCCTGGCTTCGCTTGGACTGATGCCAGTGGAGTTTTTACCACCATCTCTTCCCACATTTCTATCTGGTGAGTTCCATGTGTATAGTCATCTTTTATGTTGTTTAAAAAAGGTATTTGCAATAAACAAGTCATTGATCTTGCAAAATTCTATCATGTGATCTCCAACATCGTTTCTCTCACCAAGGCCATATTTTCCAACTGCTGATCCTCTTAGTTTCCAACCTTTGCATTCCAATCACCAGTAATTATCAACACATCTTGATTGCATATTCAGTTGATTTGAGACTGAAGAAATGAATAGAATTCTTCAATTTCATCATCACTAACTTTAGTGATTGGTGTGTAAATTTGAATAATAGTGGTTTTTTACTGCTCTTCCTTGTAGGCATACAGATATTGCCCTATTAAAGACAGCATTGTACTTCAAGATAGATCTTAAAGTGTTCTTTCTGATAATGAATGCGACGCCATTCCTCTTCAATTTGTCATTCCTGGCATAGTAAGCCATGTGATTGTCAGATTCAAAATGGCCAATATCAGTCTATTTCAGTTCACTAATACCTAGGATATCAATATTTATGCATTCCATTTCATTTTTGAAAACTTTCAATTTTCCTGTAATTATTTTTTGTACATTCCATGTTCCGATTATTAACGGATGTTTACAGCTGTTTCTCCTCATTTTGAGTTGTGCCCCATCAGTAAATGAAGGTCCAGAAAGCTTTATTTCATTCACATCATCATAGTCAACTCTATTTACTTTAAGAGCAGCTCTTCCTAAGTTGTATCTTGAGTGCCTCCCAACCTGAGGGGCTCATCTTCCGGCATTATATCTGACAATACGCTGGTCCTATTAATAATGTTTCAATATTCAATATTCTGGTGCTATCGGGCAATATTTCACTGCTACTCATAAAATTTCAGTGGCTAAACATTCAGAAGTAGTCCTCCTCTCCTGCTTCCTAGTCTGCCTCAAGTGTTTATCTGAAATCTGTCCACCAGGAGTTACCCTGGTGGTATTTAAAATATTGGTGGCATAGGTTCCAGCATCATAACAACACACAAGCCAGTATAGTACAACAAACTGTTCATTGTTGTTGTTGTTGTTAGGTGCCATCGAGTCAGTACCAACTCATAGCAACCTTATGCACAGCAGAACAAAACACTTCCTGATCCTGGGCCAACCTCACTATTGTTGCCACGCTTGAGTCCATTAATGCTGCCACTTTGTCAATCCATCTTGCTGGGGGTCTTCCTCTTTTTCTCTGACCCTCCACCTTACCAAACATGATATCCTTCTCCAGCAATTGGTCCCTCCTGACAATGTGTCCAAAGTATGAGAGATGAAGTTTGGCCATCTTGGCCTCCAAGGAGCATTCTGGCTGCACGTCTTCCAACACAGATCTATTGGTTCTTTTGGCAGCCCATGACACTTTCAATATTCTCCTCCAACACCATAACTCAAAAGCATCAATTCTTCTATGGTCTTCCTTATTCACTGTTCAGCTTTCGCATGCATAGGGTGGGTCTAAAGCCAGCTTTCAGTAGGTAACGCCAACTGTTATCCAAACTGCTATGCCATTGTACACACCTGAGTGTTAGAGAGCTCCCAATGTCCTACATGCTTGTCAACATTTGATACTGTCCAACTTTTAAAATTTAGTCATTCAGGCACTGTGGAATAATATGCTCATTGTGATTTTTAGGTGTTCCTACATAATTCGAGTAATTTAAATATATTTTTTTAATATGGTATATCTTGCCCACACCAAACAAGCATTCAAAAATATTTGAAGAACTAATAAAATAATGAATGAATATTTGATTTCAAGAATGCTTCTGGCTTGAATGATTCTTTATCTTTGAGATGCCTCTGAAATTCAGTTCAATACATTTGAGGCATTAAGAGAGGCTTTGACAAGAAGGGTGATAATTTTCTTTAAAAATTAAAACTTGGGGCATGGCATGTTGGTAATTTCTCCTCACTTCCTGTACCTTATCCTGTGGAACCCTGGCTCCTGGGGCATGTCCTTGTCTGTGTGTCTTTTCTAGGAATGAGGATCTGATCAGTAAATGTGGTGACGATGCCCGTATCTACATCATGTTCCAGTACCACCTCATCATCTTCGTGCTTGTCCTCTGCATCCCCTCCTTGGGCGTTGTTTTGCCCATCAACTATTTTGGAACTGTTCTGGGTAGGTGAAACTCACAGGTCCCTGAGGTCTGGGTGACTAAACCTAAAGAGGCAACCTGGTAGGGGAGACAGAGTTTGAATCTTGGGATCTAGAAATCTGGAACTTACTCTCACCTCTGGCAGTCAGTGAAAGGTCTCTAGGTGGCACAGATGGTTTGGGTTTGATTATTAACCTAAAGGTTGTCAGTTCAAACCCAGCAGCAGCACAGCAGAAGAAAGGTTTGTCATCTGTGTCTGTGAAGATAATAGCCAAGTGAACTCTATGGAGCTCAGTTCTACTCTGACACACAAGGGCTTGCCCTGCGTTGGAGTTGGCTGAGCAGAAATGGATTTAATTTGGGGCTTGGGGACAGTTAATAGTTGTGTGACATTAGGCAAGCCACACTTCAGTTTCTCTGAAGAGAGGCCTAGAGATGATACTGGCAAACTTCATCACAAAGTTGAAGGTACTTGATCCAAGGCAGACTCCTCCTTGCACTCACTCTAATGGACACAGCATCGTAAGTGCTGGCTTTGTCTCAAAGGACTTCTACCCACTTACATCATAACAGGGCAGATCCTTTCCACAAAGTAACATTGTAAGTGAGAGCTGACTTCAAAGACAGAAAAACTAGGCTGTAGATTTTGGCTCCACAACTTTTGCTCACATCTGTTTTCCAGAGAACACTTTTGTCCAATTTGGAAAATTATGTAATGCTCTCTTCAGCCAACCAATCTCTCCAAGCCTCATTTCCTTGACTGTCCAGGGGATTGGATTATCATGCATGTCAGTGCCTATCACTGGTGGTTCAAAACCCCGGCTGCTCCTCAGAAACCCTATACAGGGTTGCTATGAGTCACAACCGACTTGATGGAACTTATCAACAAAAACAACAGTGAATTGCAGCCAGTAGCTCACTTAGCATTTTGACACTGAACAGAGCTGATTGTAGGCTATATCACCAGGTTGTGTAGAATAGCACTTTAATTACCCAGTGCCTCCGTTTTCTACCTGTTTCTCCTCAGCCATAGTTAGCCCTCTGAATTCAGTATAGCATATGGGATGGCCATGCCATCCAACTCCCAAGTCATATCGTTCCAGATTCTCAAAGAGCCAGAGTGTTGGCAATGGTAACGTTGAAATAAATGGATATGTCAAAACCAACAAACTCATGTACTTGACCAGAAGGACTTAGTCACCTTTTCTGGATTTGTAAGCTATATGATTGTTGTCAGTGATACTATTGTTGCTAATTTCATCATTTTACTACTGCTGGGAAAGCCAGCTTTCTTCAACAAACATTTGCTAGCCTCGTGGGCCCTCATTCAGCAGTACCAAAGAGCAGAAAGAGCCTCTGTTGTTTCTGTTGGAGGTGGGGTACACTCTAGATAACTGGAGAGAAGAGTAGAATATAGGCAAGCATCTCTAGATCCCACATGTTCCTTCCAGAACCTTGAATTTTGGTACACCACAGCTCCCAACGATTGGATTCCTGGTATGGTGTTGTAGGATCAACACTGAACTGCTTACCGCAAGGTCAGTGGTTCACATCCACCAGCTGCTCCTTGGAAACTCTATACAGAGTTGCTTTGAGCCAGAACCGACTCCATGGCACTCAAGAACAGCTCCCAAGAACACAAGCTCAAGGTCATCCACTTTCTTCTCTTTCAGAATGGAATAGTCACTTTGGTCGGACCACCATTGTCAATGTCTCCACAGAGTAGGTACCTGATCTTCTTATCTCCCACTCTATTGCCTGGGGGTGTTGGTAGGGTGAGAAAGACCAGCGAGTTCGTCCCTCATGTGGGCACTGCCTTCCTGATGAGAGAGTCCAGGTTCTCTGAGGATTCCAGGCTCTGAGCGGGAGGTCACAAGTCACATTCTCTTGGTAGTGAAAGACTCTTGGCGCTTCAGTGTCCCCATCTCTGTAATAGCTGAGATTACCCAAACAAAGCTCTCCTGAAGACTGGGAGAGAGTCCTCTCGGCTGATAAAGCCTAGCTCCTAAGAGGCAAACATCTTGTACAGTTTCCCCGATACACTCATTAGGTATCCATGAATGAAGCATGATCCTAATTCCCACAGCTAAAGATGCAAGAATCCCAGGACTTGGGTTCATGCCCATCTCTGCCATTGACTGGCCTGGATCTGGGGCAATTGACCTTCCCTTTCTAACTCCCATCCTTCTCTGTGGCAGGGAGGGAGGAAGTGCTACTGGAAACGGTCACTAAACCCCTTCAGACCTCAACGTCCAGGTGCCTATGGATTTGAATATCAGTGAACCTAATCAGTAGCCAATGTGACCCCACTGTACCATACTAAGAAATGAGGTCGACTCAGTGTCTTGGCCAGGCTTGACCAACTGCCCCACAAAGCTAAAGAAGCAGTCTGGGGGGGCTAAAGAGCTATGTGGGGCTCACCCACACCTGCTCCACTCTACTCCTTCAAACCCTCTGTCCCCTACACCTTTACAACCTTGGGGTTGGCTGGTTTCAGTTAAAACTTTCTAATCAGCAGAATGTGGCCATAGTACCCTATGCCAGCCTCTTTCAGCCAGCTTCCCCTCCTGCCATTCCCACCCCACACACACACACACACACCTGTGGTGGTCCCTACACCTGAGCAGAGCTCCCAGCATGCCCCCAGGTTTAAGGTGTCTCCACCTCCCCAGCAAGAAGCAAATTTTAATAGAGCAATTAAGCCTCCAATATCCATAAATGCACACTAGCCATGAGCTGGACAGTTCCCTGGAAACCGTGTAATCTTGCCCCCTCCAAGGATAAGTTAGATGGGGGTATATGTGGAAAGTAGTCAGGCAAGGTGAGAGGGGTGGAGGAGATCGTTTCAAGCAAGGTAGATTTCTCTCCTGCAACCACATCAAACAAGGCAGGTCCCATTTCTGATTGGAACCCTGGTCAGAGGCCTGGAGGCCGTGTCACGTGAGTTGGAAGCAGGATGGCAAGCCTGGCTAGAGTGTGACCACTCATCTCACCCCCGGGGAGGCAGACTCAGGAGGCAAGACCTTAGATGCCTCCTCAACACAGAACTCCCCATGCCGCTGCTGGGCCTGAGGATGACAGCAGTGAGGGAGCGTCGTCCTCCAGCAGCCCGGGGCTGCCCTCCCAGCCCTGCCACTGCTGTGAACCACCTTGGGCACATCACCTGCCCACTCTAGACCTTATTTCCTTACGGGGAAAATGAAGAAAACCTGAGTCCCACTCTCATGTGGTTATAAGTCTAGAAAAAGCACCTCAATCACTTAGCCACATCTTTGGTACTAGAGGCATAGGAAGCACACCGACATGGAAGCCTTAGTGAACTAGCGTGAGACACCCTCTTCTTCTCACCACTGTCACCCCATCACAAAGCGCCTGAGTGTCTGGACTCCCAGTGGGTAGTCCCCTAAGATTGTATTCTGGGGGGGCTTTGTGGCCCCCACATTTCCCAGCAGAGGCTGAGCCCCCTCTCTTCTCGCTCCCGGCAGGAGTAAGATTCTGTGGCTGCACAGCTTCCTGGCCTTCCTCTACTTCATCATCAACTTCTTCTTCATGGCTCACCACTGCTTGGGGTTTGTGCCACAGAAGCATGAAAAGGTGAGTGAAAAGACCTACCAGAGCCGCTCCCTCAAGCTTCCCCTCCAGTTGGGCCACCCCACTTCCATCCTTCAGATCATGGTTCAGCCAGGTGCATCCTGCACACCTGGAGGTGGGAAGAGTTCACCTGAGCAGGGGCACACGCCTCCCTCTGACCCCAATAGATGATCATTGGGCACACCCTAACACTTCCAGTCTTGTCGGTAAACATCCCAGTTGCTTTTAGAGGACCCCTGGACTTCCTCCCCATCTGAAAACTAAAGCATTAACAAGCACCTGACCCAGTCAGGGGTCTTCAGGCATCCTTCCAGGCTGCTCAGCCCCTTCTGCTGAAAGGCTGAATAAATATTTTTACCCTTTTTGCAATCTCTCTGAGATCAGAGACCCTGTGTCTTGCCCTTGATGTATCTCCACTATCTCAGCTCGGGTTCCCCACAAAGCATTTCTGAGACAAAGATTTGAGTAGAATCAGATTGTTTGGAAGAAGGCCTGCTGGTGCAATCCTTAAGAGCTTGACTGCTAACTGAAAGGTCAGAAGTTTGAATCCACCCAGCAACTTGCTCCGTGGGATTTGTTTTCATAAAAATTACAGCCAATAGCCAAAATGGGGGGGGGGGTTAGGGGGCGGCTACGAAGGCAAGAAGTGACTGGCTTACAAGCTTTCAAGAGGGAGGCTAGATCCAAAAGGCACAGAGGAAGGTAGAATCTCCACTGAGTAGTATCCAATCTATCCTGGGCAGTGCTGATGAAAGGAGATGTGGATAGGTCCCTTTGGGTACAATGGTGAATAATTGTTATCAGGACTGACTGTGAGGGTTGGAAATGTAAAGGTGGGCATTTTGTAGCAAAAGGAGGGGAGTGACTGACTTTGCAGTCCAGGAGCGGAGGTCCCAGGAACCATCAAGGCTGAAGAGCAGAGTGCGGGACTGTAGCTACCCAGAGAAGAAGTGACACCAGAGATGGAGGCAGAGATGATGACGTGGAGAGATGGCGCAGCTGGGTACTCTAGACCCAGAGATGGAGAGGGGCTGTGTGCTAATGACTGACCAGTGGGGGCAGGCTTGCAGGGTATATCCTTTTGGTTGGTTGATGATGCATGGAGGGGATTGTAACCATGGCAATGAAACGATATACGATAGGATGAATGTAAAGCTAATGTTCTCCCATGTAAACTATCAAATAATTCACAATAAACATTGAAAAAAAAATTACAGCCAAAATAAAAACCCCTGTGGGACAGTTCTACTGTGTCGCTTGGGGTCACTGAGTTAGAATTGACTCCACAGCATCCAACAAGAGTTTACTTGGGAGTGATCTCAGGAAAGAGCAATAGGGGAAGATGGAAGTGAGACTGGGAAGAGAAGGCAGTGAATAACGGAGATGTTAATAAGGAGCTCTGGTATCGTCACAATTACGACTCAGATTGCTAACCTCGAGGTCAGCAGTTGGAAAGTACCAGCCTTTCCATGGGAGAAAGGTGAGGCTTTTTGCTCCTATAAAGATTTACAGCCATAGGTTTGCTATGAATCAGAACTGACTCCACGGCACATAAACAATAAGCACTGGACTGCTCATCACAAGATCAGCAGTTCAAACCCACCAGCTGCTCCTCAGAAACTGTATTGTTGTTGGTGTTAAATGCCATCAAGTTGATTCCAACTCATAGCTACCCTGGAGAGTTTCCAAGGAGCGGCCGGTGAGTTTGAACTGCTAACATTGTGGTTCAAACCAACCTTGTGGTCCCGTGCTTTTTCCCATAACACCACACCTATACAGGGTCACTAGGAGTTGGAATTGACTCGATGGCATTTAACCATGAGTAATTTACCAGTGTGGGCTATTGGAGCTTAATGCCACTAGGGAACTCTGGAGTCAGTGTAAAACACACACCCCACCTGTGAGTTGTTCCAACCCACGGGGACGCCATTGGCGGTATTTTCCCATGAACTCTGTCTGTCCTTGAATCGGGGCTGCTCATAGGGACGTTAACACTTAGCCACTTCTGACGTATTCTGCAAATAGGTTGAACATGCTCAGGCAGAGTTTCATATGTTTGAAGTCAGACACAGCCTTTGGGGACACACAGGGGACGCTGCAGTGTGCTGTGTGTCTGTGGGACGGTGCAGGCTGTCTACCCAGTGGGAGCCAGGGATTCCCACCTCCCTCCCAGGCATCCATCCTAAGGGACAGATTCACCCTAAGTCATCCCAGGACACAAGTCCACATACCCTGAAAAGTTACCCTGAGTGCTTCAGGCTCCCAGGCTGGGGCACCTCTGCTCTTCTTCATGTCACCAGCCAGCCAGGACAACCACTTCTTGCAGCAGTTGGCCAGACTGTCCCCCTGAGGGTGACAGTCCCGGGAAATATTTCCCATACCCAGAGTGATGCATGTCCTTCCAAAGAGCTTCCCTGACTCAACCTCCCAACTTCTTTCCCCATCCAGATTATCTCAGAGATTTTCCCACTGATGTGGGACTTGGCCCTGGAACCGTGGAGGATGTTAGAAGTTGCGGGGAGACCAGCATGATTGGTGGGATTGTGTGGGCAACAAATAAGCAGCTCTTCCCAGTCTCGTAGTTTGACACCACCCCCACCACCCCCCATGCACACACACATTCCAGCCCTTTCCTCCCTTGATCACAGTTGTCCATGGTGGTGGGTCCCCAGCTGGGGCACAGGAAATATCACAGATATAGTGTGCTTGCTGACCTCAGGGCTGCCCAGCTTAACTGAGGCACTACAAGTCTACTCAGCAAAGAGACACCAAGTATCCCACAGAGGATGCTGGGACATAGTCACCTGCGCCCTGCTATCCTGCTCACTAGACCAACCATACAGCATTCCTCTGCTCCATTTTCTTTCTCTGTTTGTCCTCCCCACTTAGGTCACAAGGACACTGATGATCACCTATGTGCCCACGGATATCCAAGATCCAGAACTCATCAGCAAACATTTTCAGTAAGTGGGGGCTGGGTTGGGGCATGGATTGCCTCCTCCCGGTAACCAGGCCTGGATTCACTTGTGGGTCCTGGGCTGACACAGGACAGAAAAGCTAGAGAGACCCCAGGTGGTGGCTCTTCTTAGACCAGGTCGGGAGTAGCTTTTCCAAATGGGAAAGACAGGCTCTGGGAGTCAGGGAGTTCCTGCATGGCATGGGTGTAATTTTCCTCATTACTCCAACTAGCGACTCCAAGGAGCTCCTGGACCATAGTTAGAGCAGGTTCCTAGAGCAGGTCTTCTTGAGACATCTTTTATGACCCAAATTCCTAGCCCCAGGGACACCCACCACCAAGCAGATTACTTTGGTGTGCAGCTCTTTCCTGAGTCCCTGGTAGGTTGGGCTCTTGCCCTGGTGTTGTTTTAGGTCATCAGGGAAGGGTGCAGCTCCTCTCTGATGACCAGGAATCAAACCTGGTTCAGGAGTTGAACCTGAGGAGCAAGGCTGGATTCTCTCATTCCAAGAATGGGGAACCCCAGGCAGCTGAGCTACCCAGCCCCAAAGGCAGGGGGCAGAGGGCAGAGGGCAAGGGTGGCACATCCCAGCCCTGCAGATTGTCTCAGCATCCATGTTTGCGGCTGCAGCGAGGCCTACCCAGGGTGCGTAGTGACCAGAGTCCACTTCTGCTATGACGTCAGGGAACTGATTGAATTGGACGACCAGAGGTGAGGTGATGGTGGGGCCTGAGGTCAGGGGAGAAGGGGAGGATATAGTTCTGCTGGTCCCTGACCAGAAGACCCTCCCCTCTATTACCTGCTGGCTGACAGGCGCCATGCGATGCGGGGTCGGCTCTACTACACAGCCAAGGCCAAGAAGAGTGGGAAGGTGATGATCAAGGTTCACCCCTGCTCCCGACTGTGCTTCTGCAAGTGCTGGACCTGCTTCAGGGAGGTAATGGCACAAATGTTGGGGGAAGATGGCCAAGGAGCGGTGGGGGCACTGAGACTCCAGGCTCTGTCCTGCACCCTCAAGCTTGGCTCTCTCTTCAGAAGGGCCCCTCCCTTCCTGTCCACCATGCCCTGCCTCCCAGTGGAGCATGGAGAGAAGCTACCACCTTCTTTGGGGCCACTTCCAGAGCGGTGTGGGGGCTTGCTTGTGCCAAGGTTGATGAGAGGAGCAGACCAAACACAGCAGGATACAGCAGCCTGCCAAATCTTGGGCTTTCAGAGCCAGCACAGAGACATGGCTCCTTCCTATCACCCAACCACTCTGTCATGGTTGGATCCCTGCCTCGGGGCAAGATGCATCAGCCAGTCCAGGAAAAAAAACAAAACAAAACACTCCCTTTCCTGAAAATGCTGTCAATACATTCTATTACTTTCTAGGGTTCACCCCAAGTCTGACAGCATCTCCCCAACCCCTCCACACACTGGTCATGCCTTAGTTTCCCCAGAGAGGTGAGCAGGGGGTTCACTGTAGAGTCATAACTCCTTCCTGCTTTAGGTTTGGGCAGGGAGCCAGCGCTTTGTGCCAGGCTTTCAGGTTCTGGGGATGGACCAGCAGCCTCAGGCCCGGTTACCGAGTACAGAGGGGCCTTGTGTGCAGGGGCCCTGTGAGGGTCTGCCTCCCCAGCTCTGAGGACTGTGTCTCGCCCCAGGTAGATGCAGAGCAGTATTACAGTGAGCTGGAGGAACAGCTGACCGATGAGTTCAACGCCGAGCTCAACCGTGTTCGGCTGAAACGTCTGGACCTGATCTTTGTCACCTTCCAGGATGCCAGAATGACACAGTAGTGAGTGTGGGGACAGCCCTGAGAGTGGGCCTTTGCTTCTCAGACACCACCCTACTCCACCTCATTCCAACCATGAGGGGAGGAGGGAACACCTCACTTCCTTTTGCCACTTCTTGACCTCACTCGGCACCTTCACCCTCCTACAGGCAGCTGCCATCTTGCTCTCCAGAGCATGGCCACATTCGTTTCCCCAGCTGCCAGCACTCAGCTTGTCCTCAGGGAGGTCCCAGACCTGGGCTCCTCATTCTCATATGGTCTTCTTCAGCAGAGTGGTCAGAGTGACCTTTGACTTCTTGGCTCCTCTTCAGTCCTCAATAAGAACAGTATCCATTTCCTCCCTCATGTCCCCCATGCACACACACCACTTCCCTCTCTTCACCACAAGTGACACCCCAGGTAAAGACGCCCTGCTTGGCCTTTGTCTTTTGCCTCATTAATTCATAGACTTACAGCCTCTTCTCCCTTCTGTCCCAGCCTCTAGCTGTCTCGCCTTAGCAGGGAAAGGGTGAGGTTATGTCCACTCTGGAATGCTCCAGAAGGGACCTTAGAACTGGGCCAAATATATGAGAGCACCAAAATCAGTCTCTTGAGTATTGTGGTAGCCTCCTTCTCCTGGGGAAGCTCCCCCCAGCTGTTCAAAGGACTAGTGGATCAGCCTAGATTTTAGTCACAAACAGCTGTGCAATTCTGAAAGTTACTCACACTTTCAAATTCTTGTCTCAAATTCTTAGTTACTTATAGCTTCCCTGAGCCATCTCCTAGAGGGCTGAGAAGTGATATGTATCCTATTTAGTGAGTATGATGTGTAAATCAAGGAGCTCTGGTAGTGTAGTGGGTTATGCATTGGTCTGCTAACTGCAGGGTCAGAAGTTCAAGTCCACCAGGCACTCCTCAAGAGAAATATGGGATTTTCTGCTCCCATAAATATTTGTATCCTTGGGAACCTTATACAGGGTCACTATGAGTTGGAACTGCCTCAACAGCACTTAGCCAATGATATATAAAGCAATAAAACTACACGAGACAATAGTCTACTACACGTCATACTGTAGTAGTTTGTGTGTTGCTGTGATACTGGAAGCTATGTCACTGGTATGCTAAAAGGAAGCTTCCAGACTAAGAAAAACTAGGAACAAGGAGAAGTGGGCCACTTCTGAATGGTTAGCTATTGGAAACTTTATGAATAGCAGCAGAGCATTTTTTTATACAGTGCTGGAAGATGAACCTCTCAGGTTGGAAGGCACTCAAAACTACGACTTGGGAAGAGCTGCCTCCATAGAGTTGATCTTAATAATGTGGATGGAGTAAAGCTATTTGGACCTTCATTTGTTGATGGGGTACAATTCAAAATGAGAAGAAATAGCTACAAGCATCCATTAATAATCAGAATGTGGAATGTATGAAGTAAAATTCGAGGAAAATTGTAAGTTGTCAAAAATGAAATGGAACAAATAAAGATCGATATGCTAGGCATTAGTGAACTGAAATGGACAGGAATTGGCCACTTTTAATTGGACAATCATATGGTTTACTATGATTTTACAATAGGGAAGGACTATACAGTCACTGTACTCATTTTAAGATCTAGCATATGATCAAGAACCGAAGGTACTGAGAAAGAAGTCCAAGCTATACTGACGGCATTGGTGAAAAATACGGCTCCAGGAACTGATGGCATACAAATTGAAATATTTCAACAAACAATAAAGCTGTGGGAGTGCTCACACATCTGTGCCAAGAAATTGAGAAAAGATCCATATTCTCACCCATTCCAAAGAGAGGTGACCCAATGGAAAACTGTGGGTAACGTTACAAAGCATGGGTATTCCAGAACACTTCATTGTGTTCATGAGGAACCTGTACATAGAGACCAAGAGGCAGTAGTTCAGACAGAACAAGGGACAATGAATGGTTTACAATCAGGAAAGGCATACGCCAGGGTTGTATTTAGCCACAACTATTCATTCTTCTTGGATCAACTATCAACACTCACGGAAGCAGCAGTCAAGAGATCAAACGACGTATTGCATTAGGCAAATCTGCTGCGCAAGACCTTTTTAAAG